ACAATTGATGGATATAACACTAACATAATAAATCAGAGCGTCACAAGCACTAGACGTTTATTGCAAAAGAGTAACTGAGACCTGTGGGAAATTATACATCACAACATTAACAAGAAAAACTTGCACATAACTTTACACAAGATAGCTGGACATTCTGGTGATCCTGGCAACAACTTGGCTGACTCCTTAGTGAAAACAGCAAATGCTGCTCACATAATCTCAACAAATTTCAACACATTACCCTACACTCAAATTCTATCACTGCACAACTACAATTTGCCAATCACTTCTAATCTTTGCAGTTTTTTCAAACTACAGGACAAAAAATGCACAATCTCTAGATGGCAGATTCACATGTTAAAAAACAATCTATTAGATCAAAGTTTTTGGTATAATGTAGACTGGAAAGCCACCAACCTGGTCTGGAACCAAGATAAAGGCATTCAATCAATGATTGCAAACAAAAGTGCATTCAAGTTCTGTGCTTACTTCATCAAATTACTGCACAATTCACTCCTTATTCTAAGTAATATGCACAAATTTAAACCTAACTTATACCTACACAATATTTGTAATCGATGTCATCTTGCTCCTGAAACTAATGATTATCTTTGAACATGTTCAAGCTCTACAAATACAATTAATACTATCAAACACCAAGCCACAGCCAAAATCAAAAAACTCATCTCATCAAGCTATGACATCACTCATCATCCATCCCTATCACTGGAAATCATAATAGACAATTTTTGCAAAAACTCATATTGTCTCAACAATGCATTGCTATTCACAAACATAAATCGCAAATCAGGCTACATTCACTTATTCAAAGGATTTGTTACAAAAGAACTTACTGAGTTTTTTAAGTTGTTTAACTTACCTCACACACAAGCATCGGAACTAGCTGCTAAGTTTATCATCTGGTTCGCTAAACAAGGATTCAAAATAATTTGGCTCATCCACTGCGAACAACAAATAAAAATTGAAAGAAATAATTCAATCTTTGCTAGACACAAGAAACACTCTAAAAAACATACTGGATGTCCTCCTGGCACGTCAATATCCACTCCTTACAATAATATCTTTAAAATCCAAATGGAACCTAATCTCTGCATTTGCAAATTCTCCACCTTAGCTCATACAAATGGTCAATACCCTGATGAAGATCTTGCAAATACTCAAGGAGATAGTATTACTTCACTGGTTTACTCTCTTCAAGCGGAAAATGATTTATTTATTAATCCTATAGGCTTTAGTTAGTCGTGAGCATGGCCCAGGTGGCTAGTCACATTGTGATTTTCTCAAATTTCTAGTGATTCTTTATCTTAATTTATAATTTGTAAATCTTACTTTGTAAGTTAAACTAGTCTTAGATTTAGAACGCGGCTACACTTTAGCATCAATAAATAATTAATCACTTTTATTATATTTAATATTTTAATAATTTAATTTAATTAAATTATTTATTTATTATTTAATTATTTATAATTCTATTAGACAAATTTGAAATCATATAACTTTATAATTTAACATACAATTTCTATATATGGCTTGTATATATGATTTTACATGTAATTTATTATTAATTATTATTATAATTTATATAATTTATATAATTTTAATAATTTATATAATTTGTGTAATTAAAATAATTTGTATGATTTGTATGATCTGTATAATTTGCATAAATTTATATTATTGAATTAATAAATATGCATGATTTTGATATATAAACTATATAAATATATATTAACATATATAAGATTACAAATTATGTATTATTAATTATTATTATGAGTTTTAGAAGTTATAATAATAAGTTATTAGTAATTAAACTAATACATTAAGTATAAAAATTTTGTATATAAAGAAATATTTTTGTCTTAAAAAAATATTTTTGTCTTAAAGAAAAAGTATTAATTAATTAAGATACAATTAGCAAAAATAACTTGTTTTATAAAATTATTATATCAAAATCAATAAACTTGAAATTTAATAATATTTTTTTATAATTAATATTTTATACATAATTATCTTAATTATATTGATTTACTTAACTTATTTTTAATCACATTATTAAGAATGTAAAGTATATCTATATTAAAAAGATTCATAATATCTTTTAGTAATAATAATAAAATAATATATATTTATTAGCTAACAAATTCATGTTATGACTGAATTTAGCTATCTTAACATAACATTATTCACATTAATTTAGTACTAAATTCTCTAAAAACTCATTTGTAATAGTATTTAACAATATTATCATATAGATCTAATGTAAAATCAAATTGAAAATCAGTCAAAATTTGCAATAATATCAATAAAATCAAGAAATTAATAAAAAACGTCAAATACTCACACTTATAAAACTCATTATAAAACTTGTTATATAAGCTATTAATTGTTAAAAGTTTGATCACTATTTTTATTTTATTGATGTTGTGAATTTTTTCAGGTCACAATCAATTTTCAATTTGATTTTATGTTAATGATATTGTTAATAAGTATTTGGCACTTCTTTTTGTTGGTGAGGGTCTCAATTATAATTTTGCTGGACCAAATCACAAAACAAAGACATTTATTTGTTTTTGTTTTGATAGCAATGATGTCATGCAGAATCCAGCCAATCATTGAATGTCTTAAGATATAGGTCATGTGTATTAAGTCAATCCGAATAATTAGAAGATTATCCGAGTTGACTTAATTCTTGATCCACTATCTTGCTTTAGTGTTCCTCTATTTTTGGGAATGATAATTTTTTCCTTATATATAACGAGTTTTGATTGTATGTATCGATTTTTGATAAGCTGATCGAATGCAAAAGTCAAAAGCCTAGTAAAAGAAAGCTAGCAAAAGACACATATTCTATTGATAACATTCGGCAAATCAAGAGATTGCTAAGGCTATTGTTCATACGAAGGGCTAAACTAAAATATTTCTTATTATCTAAGAGTATAAGATGATAGTGACCTCAATCGCACCCGTATGCTATATACTGACAAATTTAAACTCGAAACATATTGTTTTATTCAAGATTCTAAACTTTTGTTTTTTTTAGTAAAACGTAACAATAAAGATAAAACAATAAGAATTAATGAATAACGATAACTTATTTCCTGCATGATTCTCAGAAGAGAACCAAGGCTCCATCAAGCAATGCCCGGAGAAATATTTCTCGAGCGCCATTTTCATCTCTCCATTAAAACATCAAGTTTTTGACGTATATGCTTTAACTCGGACTCCTAATTCTCAGCCTTGGTGATTAGACGTTGACAAAATCGATAGTGCGCCCAGCACATCTTTCGGACCGTCTTTCGTGTGATTTTTCTCGTTTTACGATTCACCATGTCATATACCTCAAAAGGAGGAATGACAATAGCATCGAATTCGCGAGTGAAGAATCGTATGCCTTTTCGAGTCTTTTAGTTTTGGAGTTTGATTGTGCAAGCTTATCTTTTTGTGAAATTAAATTGTCCATATGGGCACAGAGTTGAACGATACGTCCAATAATCTTGCCCGCTCTTTTTATGGGAGAATACCATGTGAAGGGTGGCCGAATCAATCGAGACTGCATGAATAGAGCCGTCCGCTTGGATTTTGCGGCTTTGTCTTTGCGTAGATCCAGGCAAAACGTCCACTCATTGGTTTGGCGATAGTAGGTGAGTTTACAGTCAGAAGTGGAAGTGGCCATTTGTTGTTGCGCCTCTATTTTTCGAAATGGAAAGGCCACAAGGCGCATTCGTTTTCGTTCAGCTCGCAGGGCTTTTAACGATGTGAGGCGTATATTGAAGCGGTGTGAAGGAGTGAAACGTAGAAACGATTCCAAATAGAGTTAGAAAGTTCTGCGCACGAATAGTGAGTGAATTAACGAAGTACCTTTTTTGATTGGAATAAAAGACGATGTACCGGCGAGCTTCGCTGTCGTTGTGCATTACGCTTTATAACTTCAGCTCTCGCGGTCAGAGCCTGATCGACGGCTTCATCAGTGATGTTGACAGGAGCCGCCTCGTAAAAGTGCTGCAGCTTGCTTGTTCCAAGAGGGTTTTAAATTCTTTGTGCTTGAAGTTGGTACTGAGAATTAGAAGAGGTGTCATTTGAAGCCTTGCTTGGCTCTGAAGATCTGAGTGTAAAGATAATCTTTGTAAGAGTAGGTGGTGGTGGTGACGGTAAAACATCGGAGTGATTTTCTTTCGTGATCCACTAAAGGTAGAAGCTACATTTGGTCTCTTTTATAGCTATTTTTGCTGGCAGTGTTTGTTCTCTATCACTATATTGAAAAATTGCACAATTACAGCATTTCCTGATTTGATCTACAAAGGGGTTAATCCCTTTGTAATATATCCAGACACACTTGTGGCATTGAGATTCTACGTCATCACTAAAGACCCGGAAATTTTTCAAAATTAATTTTTTTCCAGTCGAACATATTACATAATCCGTGATATATACCGATACAAGTTCTCAAACCAGATTAACATTTATTATCATCTAAGGAATTTGTGTAGCGATAGTATTAGTTTGTTTTTCGAAATCAATATCTACTGTGGAAATAAATAAAGCAATGATAGTAAATAAAATATAAACAATAATTAGAAAAACTAATAGTAATGGAGAATTATAATCTACTCTAAAAACAAGAAATGATGTAAAAATAAGACCAGGTAAGGTTAAAATCAAAAAACTACAAATTTTTTTACTAAAAGGAATATGCTCTAATTTGGTATTATTGGAAATAAAATGATGAAAAGCTGATTCACTTTCAATTTTTGTTTGCTGATAAAGTCGACTAATTACAACGATCCAAATACCGAAAAAAGTTTTGTTTGCAACAGTGTCATTGTAATCAAATACTGTATAGGCAAAAAGGATCCAAAGCCAATATGAATGATACATGTTAATGATAAGCCATTGAGAAACGGACTTTACATGAAATCCCATAATAAAAGCGAATAAGATATATATAACAATCACCATTGTACTCAATTGGATATACGTTTTAAATATATCCACAATAACAAGTAAATGCATAATATTAAGTGTAAAAGCTTGACAAATTATAACATATAAACCAAGGACACAACTTGAAGGTTTGGGATAGAAATATAAACCAAAGATATAAATTGAAGCTTTAGGGTAGAACACAAAAGTTAAGTGGGCGAGTGTAAAAAGGACTGTTGGTACAATTACTATAATAAGATCATAATCCCATCCTTTCCCTCTTGAAATGTTATATGCGAAGGTTCCATAGTTAATACAATAAAAAAGCAAGAAATCATCCAAAAAAGCAAGAAGCAGATCCTTTTTTGTTATATCTTTCTCGTCGCTCCTTTTTGAATTAGCTTTAAAGAGAATAGCGACAAGTAAAGGGACCAATCCCGAAATTACAATATCATACACATCATTAAATAAAGTGTTATCGTTATTGGATAAAGTGTTAAATGAAGTGTTATTGGATAGAGTGTTGTTCTCTTGATTTAATTGATTTAATAGACTGGCTGACACCTTAGGTACCATTGTTGTAAAGTTGATCAGGAGCAATAAATAATATTTCTTGAGGTTGAAATATTCTTTATTGAAATGTCCATTGTGAGCTAGAGGTTGAATTGATTGTGAGAATCTGTTGAAAGATCTGAATTGATTCATTTTCTAATTATGAGTTTCGATTCTAGAATTAAGAAAAGTAAAAGTTTATACATTTGATAATGAAATTACGTAATTACAAGCATACAGAGTAACGGTAAAACTTGTACGAATCTGTGTACAGGATACACTGTTAAAATAATACAGTACAAAACCAAAATGTGTGGCGGTACAGTACCGAATGTGTGTAGACTCGGTTGATTCCTTCTCTGAATAGGATTGTATCTCACTTTAAAACTTCATTTCATTTTATGCTTCAAATCATGTTCTCCTGTTTCAAATAGAAGAATTCTGAATTTAATCCTGGAATCCAGAATTATGGATGCAGAACTTGCATTATTAAAAGTGAAAGTTTCATGAACTAATTGAATAAAAGATAAAGTTCAGTTGCACAAAGCACTTAATTTTTTTAAAAACACTTCTTCCTTCTCCCTCTTTATGATCACACTTGTAGAATGAATCGCGATTTTTATTTCTGTTTTGTGTTTAAAGAGATCATCACCTGATTTGCCCATGATAGATAATCTATTATTTCAGAATCTTAATAACTTGCAAAAAAAACATCATCTGTAGATAAATTTTTATTCCAGCAGGAAGAATAAAGAGATTGCTAAGGTTTCTATTGTTCATATATATGATAAATGAGGAAGGTTATCAAGATCAAAATCAGAAATCAATAAATCTATTAATAATCATTTACGAACAATGATTTTAAAGAGCTCCCAATAATAACTCATCTCGAACTATCTAAGGTATTTTTCAATATGAGAATTTATTAACATGTATCAATTGCTTGTAATAAAGCTTCAAAGATCAAAAAACGAATATGCAAGCTTGACAAAATTTGGCCATTTGATCTCGATAATACTATTATATTTTATGTAGCACTGTAAAGTTATTTGACTGAGCTGCAGTCGAGTCTTCACCAAATTTTACAATATCGTGATATTCTCTACACAAATTGGAACATCAATGATACTCGTAAATCAGATATATATACGCGTTGCATGCGTTAAATCATGTTTTTATGAACGTTTGGTAGAGTTCTATCATACTCGTACTGAGAATCTCATACAATGACAACATTACTGATTAATTATAGAAGATGTGATCTCATGATGAAAAAAACAATGCAAAGATTGCACGTGCTCAAGCAGCGAATAAAGAAATCAAGTGAGTGTTTTTTTAAATCAAAATTAATCATATATAACTCTTTTCTATTTGGTGAAATTCGTGATCAAGGATTCACAAGGCCCAAAGATTTGATTCTATTACCTTTTAACAATTCGGCATTGGATTTAGTTAAAATCTTAATTATTTTTTCTGGGTCACAGCAACAGCTAATATTAATTGAATATTGATTTATTTAAACTATTGAAATTGCTATTTATTTTAGGATAAAAGATTTTTTGAAGACTTTAGTATCCCACAGGAAGAGAAAACTATAAATCCTAATAAGTCAGGTATTTATTTTAAATCTCTCTGAATAATTAGCAAAAAAATAACACGAAATTCTATTTCCATTCCGGTCAATTTTAGCAACTTTTTGAGGGACTATAGGTGATTCCTTTCGAATTGGCATGAGATTTACTCGCAAGACAATGAAATTATATGTTGATTTTTATTCAACCGATATGCCGATATTATTATTGGGTATTATAATTGGGCCTGAAGGGTAAGGTAATACTATTACTAAATAGGTAATGACTAATGCAATGTTGGTAATACTGGTAATATTTACCAATATTACCAGTTCATTATTCACATTACCTTACCAAATAACCAGATATTACCTTACCTAATAAAATAATACTGATTAATCAAGGGTTTGAAAGATTCTGAAAATATTATTCGTGAAATTGAAGTAAAATTGACCATAATGTCAAGTTTTAACACACTAAATGCTAATAATTAAAAATATATAAAATTTTGCACATTGCTTCACGAGATATTATGCGAAACGTAAATAAATTGCTACAACG